ACTAATCGATTTACTAATCATATTTATTAATTATATTTATTAATCGATTTACTAATCATATTTATTAATTATATTTACTAATTATATTTATTAATCATATTTATTAATTATATTTATTAATCATATTTACTAATTATATTTAATAATCGATTTACTAATCATATTTACTAATCATATTTATTAAGCGATTTATTATTTATATTTATTAATCCGTTTATTCTTTTACTTTTAGACTTGCCTTTTATTATATTCTTTGTTCTTTCTTTATTTCTTTTCACTTTGCTAGCTATTTACTTGTCTTATATAAATTGTTTTTATTATATGATTGTTTTTTACTTGTTTTAAGCTTATACGGCTATTTCTTATTTTTTATTCGAAATTGTTCTTTTGTTTTAAGCGTGCTTAACCACGTGTATTCGAAAATAAATTGCTATTAGAAAAAGTAGGTCCTTTTTATAAATGCACTTATATAAGAAAGCTTTCTTTTCCTTTTTTTTAACATTTTCTTTTTTTATATAACAACAATTATAATAATACTACTATTACTTTTGTGACGAACTGATGAATTCTGACCTTAGAATACAAAGTGAGGAGAGGAAACAGGAAGCTCGGGGAGCTCAGGAAGGTCTATATACATGGCTGCAGGCGCTAGGCCTGGACGGGTGATCAGCTGACTGCAGGTAACAAGGCAGGCTGTCACACTACCCCCTTAGAGAGCGGTCCCAGCTCTCTCAAAAAGTACCTGACAGAGGAAGGAAAAAATAAAAAAATTCAGTCGTGAACTATGGTTCACGGGTGGAATTGCTGAAAAAAAACCAAAAAAAATACGCCGAGGCTACAGATCGCGATAATCGTCAGGGTCAGCGTCGTAGCCTCCAGAAGCGTTCCATTCCGCCAAAATTTCCTCCCTTTCGTCCGAGTCAAACTCGCTTAAACCCTCATTTTCCTTGACAGGTCGGTCCGAAAAAGGGTCCCAAAGAACTCGCTTCTTTGTCAAGGGCTTAGCTGGAAGGAGGGTACAGCTAGCTATCCAGTGGTCGATTGCACCGCAACGGGTACAGCGATTTGATTTGCGCTAAGCTTCGCGCTGATCAAGAGTGCTGTGAGGAGCATGCTGGAGAGTGGGGTATCGTTCTTCCAACAGCTGAGTTTGGTCAGCCTCGTGAGCGTCGATAAGCTTTATAGCGCCGAGCTCGTTGGCGTGCTGCAATTGCTCGAGTTGTTGAGCGCGTTCGACTGCTGAAAGGTCCATTGGGTCGCCGGGGGAAGGGCCCGTTGACGTGCGAGGGCGGTTTTGAAGAGGGGCCGAAGGTGCCGAAGGTCGAGAAAATCCGTGGGACGGGCCGGAAGGGCCGGAAGAGCCGGAAGAGCGTCCAAGCTGCTGAGTGACGTGCACGTATTCAGTATACGTAGTTGGGAGAGTCAATTGGCCATTCAGACGGGTCCGTATAGTTGAGTTTAGACCATTGCGGAACGCAATAATCTTATTAGCGTCGGGCCAGGTCTGACAGCGAGCAGCGTGCAAAAGTCGTTCGAAGCGTGAGACGTAGATATGGAGAGCGTCCGTACCTTGCTTGCAAGCAAGCAGCTTATCTTTAGCTTCTTGAATTTTGTTTGGATTGTCGTAAGCGAGAGCGAGCTGATCCAGAAGAGTATTGTAGTCCCAATTGCCGGAGTCTTGAGCTGAGGCCAATTGAGTCAAAACCATTGCTTGGGGACCGGGTTCCATATTGAAGTAAACGTAGTAGAACTGCGCAGTGGGTCCGCCAAGAGCTTCACCGTCGACAAGAAGCTTGGCCTTGATTGAAGGGAGCCAAGTATCCCACCGCTGAACCGTACCGTTGAACTTATCGGGATCAGGAAGGACGCATTTGCGCTGGCGAGGGGCCATTCGTAATTGCTCTACGAGGGACTCCAATTGAGCGATTCTCGTAAGGGGGGAAGGGCCGTCGTCTTCGTGGGAGGACATGGTGGTGGAAATGGGGGGGGGCGTTTGAGTGTCGGAAACGCCAGGAAAAGAGTGGGGAAGAGAGTTCGTCTTGCAACCGAAGTGCAAAAATTGAGGGAGGGAGCTCTTTTAGGTCGGAAGAGCTGAGGACGAGGTGAGGTCGTAAAAAAGACAATAATCTGTAAGCAATAAAAGAAGACCGTGGAGCACCCAACAAGTAACTCACTCCGTTCTTGACAATAATCAATAAGCCGTAATCTGTAACAATAAGCAATAACAATAAGCTGTAATACGACGACCTAATCGAAGGACTTTGTATAATGTGACGAACTGATGAATTCTGACCTTAGAATACAAAGTGAGGAGAGGAAACAGGAAGCTCGGGGAGCTCAGGAAGGTCTATATACATGGCTGCAGGCGCTAGGCCTGGACGGG